CCTTGTTATCCCTTTGGTTTTCAAATATAAGGAAATAAAGATGAGAGAAACTGGGAGCCCTTTTTCATAAGGTTTCACTATTTGGCTTGTGAAAGGACCTGGTGTGGCTCTTTTGCAAATCACTAGGAAGTTCCTTCACTAGGAATTGTTGTACCTGTTAAGGTTCGCAGCTGTTGGCATGGAGAGAGATCATCGTTTGCTCTAGACCGGTCAAAAACCTGGCTGCGGGCCTTCTCCAGTCAGATGGAAGGTTTCAAACCAGATTAAGACCTTAAGAACATAAGCTGTGCCCTGCTGGATCAGACCCCTGGCCCGTCTAGTGCAGCAGTCTGTTCTGACAGTGGCCCACCAACTGCCCAAGGTGTTCCAGAAGAGGGGTCCCATGCCATCGAGGCCAATGGCTGTTGATCCTCACGACTTCCAAATTGAGCCAACCCTTTTTTGAATTGATCCAACCCTTTTTTGAAGTCAGCCAAGTTGGTAGCCAGCATCCCATCTCTGAAACAGCCACTACAGCAACAGATGGTTCTTCATGTCCCAGAAATGAACTACTGGATTAAGAATGGCTTTCCCGTCTCTTGCGTGGAGGCTCCTTCTCTCCTTTGGACTTGCTCCAAAAAAGAAGAGAGCAAGAGCTCCATATCTCAGCTCAATTGCTCAGTGTGCCCCAATGCCTTCCAGCAGAATAGGGAACGTAGGCCCAGATCAGAGATTCTCTCAAATAACTGATAACACCACTGCTCTGCAAGTTGCACTGATTACCGGTGACTTCCAGGTGCAATTCAAACTGTTGGTTGTCACCTACAAAGCCCTTCAAGACTCAGGACATGGTTACCTATAGGACCATCATTTCTGGCCAGTAAGATTTGGAAAAGTTGGCCCACTCCAGGTTCCAGCTGTAAAATACTGTCACCTTGTAGGACCCTGGAGACGTGCTGTCTTGGCAGCTGTAGAATAGCATTCCTCCAAAGCCTGTACGGCCCTGATCTGTTGGGCTTCTGTAAAGCCATACAGACCTGCTCTTTTCATCAGGCTCATCTCCCCAGTGGTATTTGGTGGGGAATATGTTTGTGTTAGTCATCCTCTGCAATGCGTGCCATATATTTTTTGCTGGTCCTGTTTTGTTATTAGATATTTTTACTTGCTGTCTTAATCCTATTGTAGAATCACAATAGGATTAAGGCATCATGCAGATAGATGATTGATAGATGATAGATAGATAGATAGATAGATAGATAGATAGATAGATAGATATGATTAGAGAGCAAGAGAGAGAGAGAGCGATAGATAGATAGAGATAGATAGATTGACAAATAGCCAAAGAGATCTGCACCAGACTCAGATATAATTCGATTCATCCTCTCATGTTCCAGAGCTGATATGCAGAAAATGCTGCCTCTCCCTGTATCAGCCCCTCTCCTCTGTTCAGTGAGACTTTGGGGGGGGGGCTGTTGTTGGCCTGGGGTAGAACAACAGTGACAAGGGGCAGGCCTTTTTGTAGTGCCCCCCCACCCAGCCCCTTCTCCACAGCAGCTTGCTGCGCCAGGAAGCGGAGAGACAGGAGGCAGGAGACAGGAAGGGGGGCTTCGCTTTTCATGCCTCTGTGACCCCCCCAGCAAGATCTTTTCCAGCTTTGCAAGTGGGGCAGGGAGTGGCTGTTCCTAGCCATCCTTGACATCAGTGTGATTTTATATTGTCTTTCCTGGTTCTTAAGCAACATGCTTTCATCAGCTATAGTGAAATACAGTCAAACAAGCCAAAGTATCGGGGCGGATCCCGTAAGGCTCGGCTCCACGTCTGTGGGCCGCACCACCTTGGGATGCCTGGCGAGGAAAGGTGCCTCTGAACTCCTGCAAAGGGCTGGAGGGTCTCTGTGGTTCGCTCGAGGCTCTTGGTGCCTGGTGACGGCACTGCACGCCCCCCTCAAGGTTCCCCGGATGGTATTCGGCAAGGAATTGACTGAGATGGAGCAAACAGAGGAGAGGCCGGAAGGCTTTTGTTCCCGCAAGTAATGTGTGAATGTTTAATTCAGTCACAGGGGTGCAGCCTTAACCCCATGTGCACTTCCTCACTATCCATTCTGGCAGAGAACGCTTCACGCATCCAGGGGCACCCTGCAAACAAAGATGGCAGACTGAGATGCGCACAGAGGCATTTGCATAGTCCTGTCCAGATTGACCATCCCGGCCAACTTGCATTTTATCCCTGCAATCTCCCCCTCCTCCTCTTCCTTCTGCCCCTCCCTTGTGGCCAAAATGCAAGGCTTTGGGCTGGCTTTTGGGCCCCCTGTACAACCTCAGGGAGGCCCCATTCAGCCTCAGCCCAGGCCAATGGCAGAGACGGAGGGGGCAAGCGCACCCATTCAGCCTCCCTGCCAACTCCCCTCCTTCCACCCCGGCCCACTTCTACCTCCCTCCCTCTCTTGAGGTCCCCTTAATGGGGCTCTGCTGCCCCCTCGTGGCGGCTGGCAAGGTGGGCGCTGCAGCCTTAATTTCGGGGGGATCCCTTTCAACAGCCCCACCTCTGCCAACCTGCTAGGCACCGTCAGAAGATGATTTGCAATTTGCTCTGCATGAAAAGAATATTCTGTCCGCATGTCATGGGGGTGCAAACACATTTTAGAGCCCCAAGAATGTTCTCCACCCCATGGAGTGTGGTTTCCTCTCCTTCTGTTACCCAAATGACAGCAAAGTGATCTCAAAGAGGGAGGTCGCCCGGGTCAGCCCAGCCAGGGAGACCAGGCCAAGCAATCGGCGCCAAGAAAGGCTAAAACTACTTTTATCGAGAGTGGCGATAATCACAGAAGCGTGAAGGTCTGACTGGGCTGCATCTCCTCCTCCTCCTTCTGCCCACTTGGCAGGGGGACTGTAGGAAGGGGTCTGCCTGGGCCACTTCCAAGGCTTTCTGCTTGTTTGGGATCGAAGATATTGTTTTCCCTTGTCCCTTTGGTAACGGATCTCACCCCCCTCCAACAGTAAAGGTCATCTTCCTTGCCGTCTACGCCCTGGAGGAGACTGGGCTGGGCCTGGGCCCAAACCTCTGGTGAGCAGCGCCAGCAACACGCTGCTTGCATTTATCCTCAAATGCAAACATGTGAAGTTCGGTGGCTATTTAACAAGTCTCGGAGGGAAAGGAGAAGCGGGGGACATTCTCCTTTCAGGGACTTTTGCTTAGGAAATTGCTGGACTGACAAGCGGCTACCTCTCCTGCTCTCTGGAACCAGGGTCCAGCCTTTCTGCCTGCTCCCCGCAACTGCAGGCAGCCGCCCTGCCTTGCTGAGGACCTGCCGCCACAGATCTGTGGGGTTCCAGCAGATCAAGACGAGATGGGGGAGACTCAAGGAAGCAGCTGATCTCAGCTCAGCTTATGGTCCTCCAAGTTTCATTCTGGCCCCTTCCCGGTTGGGTGCTGGGAGGTGCCCTGCACCGACCGGCCATTGAGTTTGTGGCTTGCAAGTTAGACGAAAATGATGTTCACCACCACACTTAGGGCTCATTTTGCAATAAAAGAACGCAGGGATCGTTTTTCGCACTACAGCCTGACCCAGCCCACCTCTCCCCCACAAATTAGTCAACCGAAATTGTCAACACTTCCCTCTTGATCTCATTTTCACCAAGTTTGCATTGTTTCCAGACGGTTTTAAAAACACAGGCTCTAACTCTGCAAATACTGCAGGTAGGTGAGCAATCCGTAGTCCAGGGTCGATGTGGACACGAAGTACTTCTCAGCTGAGAAGGTCTGGCTCCCTGGGACTGAAACTTTAGCGTGGCTCCCATCTGACCTCCGTTCCTCCCTCCCCCAGTCGGCAGCTCAGCCCTAAAGAGGGCTTCTGAGGAGCTCTGAATGGACCATCAGCTGCTGGAGCCGGGTGGAAAGGAAAGAATTCCTGCTTGGAAACTATCTCAGCAAAAAGAGGAATACTGCAGACCTAACTGGAAAAAGTCAATTGGTGACGTAGCCTAGAAAATGGTCCTATACGTATCTAGAGGGCAGATTTTTACATCACCTTCACAAGGGTCCCAAATTCAGGGTTCTCTCATCGTTTGTGGAACTGCTCCAACTCCCCCCAAGCTGGGCCCTTCCAGGGCTGTTGGACTACAATTCCTTCAACACACCTGGAGAACATCAGGCTGGGCTGCTCACCGGGAGGTGTGAAAGACTCAAGGCTGGGAATGAACTTCAGGTGAAGCCCTTGGGGCCCCTCTCTTTCTCTGAGCTGGTTGGCCACAGCTTCTCAGTTGGGCAGCCTGAGGAAAGATGTTGCCTTCTCAGGAGGAAGCCAAGCCATATAAGGCCCCACTTGCAGACACTCAGGCCAAAACTCTTCCCTGGACAGTGTGTGTGCAGCTGCAACAGCAACAGCAACCACCACCACCAACATAACCTTCGTAATCATCATGTCCTCAGGCAGCCCCTACTGTTGCATCTTCCTGCTGCTTGTGGCCTTTACTTTTGAGGAGGAGACCTGGGCAGAAGCCAGAATCCCTTTGACCAGAGAGCCCAAGCTCTTAGTGCCTGGGTGGGAGAAGCTTCTGGGCACACCAGAAAGGAACAAAGGCTGGGGAGGTGGGCCCATCCTGAGTCTGGAGGGGGTCTCCCACACCAGCAGGGGGACAAGGGTGCCTGACGGCCTTGGGACGAGCCAGGAGACAGCGCGGGACCCCCAGGATGAGAGCCAGCAACCCTTGTGCCCGCCTGGGGACCGCAGCCAGAGCTGGATGGTGAAAGTGAGCCTCCTGGGTGTCCTGGGGCTTCTGGTCATGGGGGGCAACGGGCTGGCCATCGCGGTGCTGGCCTCCTCCGTGTCCGGCTGGAGCCACAGCAGCCGCCTCACGCTGCTCTCGCTGGCTGTGTCAGACGCGGCGCTGGCCGTGCTGGTGGTACCCCTCAACCTCTACCGCAGCCTGCAGCTGGGGCCGGCAGCCCCCGAGGAGGCTGCTGGGGAAGAGGCTGCCTACTGCCGGGTGGTGGCCTTTGTCAACTCCAGCATCTTCGGTGCCCCCCTCTACTCTCTGGCGGGGGTCTCCCTGGAGCGCTACGTGGCCGTCTTCTTCCCTCTCCACTACGGCCGCCTCCTGAGCGGCAGGCGGGTGGCTCTGCTCATCGCGGCCGCCTGGCTCCTGCCAGCGATCCTGTTGCTGCCGCTGGCCGTCCCCGCCCCTGCGGCGGTGGTCCAGGTCCGCTTCTCCGCAGCCGCCCTGCTGTGTGAGCCAGACTATGGCTCCAACACCCTCTACTCCCTCTGGATCGCTGGCACCATCTTCTGTCCAGCTGCGGGAACCATCACCGTTACGAACGTGCGCCTCTGGCTAGTGGCCCGCTCCCAGCGCCGGCGTGGAAAGGACCTGAGCTTGCTGGGGAAGGCGGGGGGCCCCAAGAGGCTTCGGCTGCTCCAGCTGGATGCTGCTGCCCGGGTCCTGCTCCCAGTTGTTTTTGCCTTTTTGGCCTGCTGGGCCCCCTGCATCGGCACCATCGTGTACAACTGTAAGTGCCCCGGGGCGGTGGGTGGCACGGCTCCTCTTCCCGGGCAAAGGCACAGAGGCGTTTGCACCCCCTGCATTCTTGCCCCAGGAGTGCTCCTTTTCACCCAGGCGGTCAGCTCACTCCGTGGGCGTATACACTGTGGTCAAGGAAAACAGCGTGCGCCATCGGGGGGGCGGAGGGGAGGGACGGCAGGGCTCTGGGATCGGCAGTTGTAATGTGCAATTATGCTCTAATCAGCCTCCCCGGCCTAGTGACCCGCAGACGGTCGTCTCTGTGCGATTCCAATTACCTCCCCCGACGCAGAGGTTCGGGTTCTGCACATTTGAAAAATACCAGGTGGCCAAAGGCTGCTGTACAATTTGCCTCAATTGATGAGATTAAGTATTGCCATTTAGATGAAAAGACTGGAGGTGGCGGAGTAAGTCTACGGAGCTGGAGGTTGTGTGTTCTGTCATCTGAGAGTGAGGATGGATTAGTGGATTCCTGAGCACGAGTGAGTGTGGATATCATTTTAGTTTCTCCTACGGGAAGAGGAGGCAAGAGAATGTCATCGGGGGGTGTGCAGAACAACTTCCGATTCTTTGATTCATGGGCTTGTGAGTAAATTCAGCAGGCCTTTTTCAGAACAAATACGTTTTGTCTAAACGTGCAGATCTCAATGCTTAGACCAGCTTTCCTCAGTCTGACATCTTCCAGATAAGCTATGAATCCCATAATCCTCAAACGACGTGTTTCCTGAGGATTCTGGTTGCCGCAACACTGCTGTACCTGGAAGGCATCAGACTGGTATAAGTGATGAAGTCTTGAACTCGCCTACGGCAAGAGGACGGAGCCGAGACATTCAAATGAAACGTGCCCTGTAGCAACCGACTCATGCCCGTCTTCTCTCTCTCCCCAGCAATCACTCAAGAAAGAGTCCACGAATGGGTAGAATTCGTTGCTTTGTGGCTCCCCATTGGCAGTGGCTTCCTCAACTGCTTTGTCTACTTTTGGGTCAACAGGAACTTCCGGCACAAATTCCAGAAGATTGGACAAAAACTCTGCTTGCCCTGCTGCCCAACAGAGCCGGAACTGTGGCCACAGCACCTCCATACTGTCTCTGCTGATGTGAAGAAGGGTTGCAGGCATCCCGGCCTTTCCCCACATTGCTCCTTCAGCATGTCCCCTTCCAGCAACGGCCTTCCTCTTTTTCGAGACGGCTAATAGCCTGTAGGAATCCAATCCAGCCTTCTTACATTGTGTGGGTTTGTAACTCTTAATGGACCCTCAAATCCACTGTCTTTGTGCAGCTGAAGAGTATTTGTCATTTGGAAGATCTTGGACCCTTGAAGTTAACTCAGGAAATGGATATATCAAGTCAGCTGTACCGAAAACGTGACGGCTTCATTAGCTGGGGGCAGAAATGCCCAAGGAGGAGTGAATGCTGTGACCCCCTCCCCGGCTGGCCTGCGGTCTAACTGTGCAGACAAGCGTCTCCAGGACAACCCTGGGATGCAGACAGCAGTGCAGAGCGGCGGTGGGTGATGGTGAAGCATCTGTCTGAAAAAGCTGGGTTCTTTACAAGGCCCCTCCAGGGGAATGTGAGGAAACCAACCCCTGGCGATAATCTCAGAGCATCTGGAATAAAACGGAGCTCCAGGGTCAGCCATGCTCACTTGTCTAACGGGACAACTTCAGCACATCTCTCCCTTCCCATACAAAGGCTTTGCTAACCAACTTGTTTTGCAGTCCCATGAAAAGATGAAAACCAGGGCCGTGATTTCTAAGTTAACATCACTTGGTTTTAATTCCCCTTTTTTAGTGGCTAGACTTTGCTTTTCGCTTGAGATTTAAGAGAAGGTTTTAGCTCGATCCGTGGACTTGGCCACGGAGAGTGAGCAGACTGATTCCTCGATCCACCGAGTGGGGGGGGAGGTTCCTTAGCCATGCTCTGGGAGCATCTATGCCTTTTGTTGATTAACCCATTGCGTAATTGTCCTGAGAGGAAAAAAAGGATGCTGGGAACTTGACTTGGCCTCTTCCGTAGTTTTTTAGATCATCTTGGCTGGGTCCTCCCTCATTGCTCACCGTATCTTGGCGTACGTCACCCCTTTCACAACATCAGCTGGAATATGCCCACGACCATGGGGCTGCTTCAGTTTGGTCCATAACACCAGCAGCCTGGGACCTGGGACTTTCCCGTGGCTGTTCCATTTTCCTAGCCTAGCCAGCCTGGCTACGGCCTGTTTCCTCTTTAGCTGTCTTGAACGCCCAGTTTCCAGTTACCTTTCCCTGTGGCTCCCTCTCCTTCCTGGATTTTTATATAGTAAACTTTTAATGACTCAGGCTGAGAGCAGAGGCTGGTTGGAAGAGATCAAAGTCTAGGCTTTGTTTTTCCTGCCCCCAACTTAAGAGTAATGGTTTGTTTTGTGTGCTGGGCTGGGGAGAAATGCAGCATGGGTGTCCTCGTATGGTCAAAAAAGTCAAGATGGTGGTCACAACAGTGTGATTGAAGCTCCATCCGTTTTTATGTGGGTCACAATAGGTGTAGTTTTGATCGCACCTTTGTGGCCACCATCTTGATTTTTTGACCACACTCTGCAAACGCCTTGGAAATGCAGGCAGGGTCATGGTCTGTGAGAAGGAATTGTCCAGCTGGCCTTCCCCATAGCTGAGGTCCTGTGCTGAGGTACCATTCCCACCGTCCCCAGCTAGCCTGTTCTTCACACTGGGTAGAGAAGGTGGGTGTTTTGTCCAACGTAGCTGGAGGATGCTGGGTTGAAGAGGCTGGACCAGCATCTCGGCAGGGTTTCTCTTTGGAGGACAGGCTGTTTCATGGTGGCATCTCGGAATCTTGTTCTTTTTTCTCTTGCACCGATTTCTTAGCCCCCACCCAGTGCTCCCTCTGTCTCCCCTTTGGGCGCCTTTCCCAGTCTGGATTGTTATGTGCAGGATTTATGGGAAATACATTTTATCATAGTCCAAAGCTGCTGCTGCTGCTTTTTTCCCCCCTTCTTTTTTAAAAAAGACTATGGTTTGAAATATTCTGTGAACATCCGTTTTTGTCTTGCCTTTATTGAATTATTGTACTGTAGTTTCTTGGATAAAAAGAAAATTAAGATGACGTTTAAATGTATTAAATAAAAATAAAGGTGTTTTTGATTTAATAATTTTTTTCCTACTGCCATTTGTTCCCAGGATGAAGAAAACCTTGGTGAGGGGGCAGAGGGGGAGGTGTTTTTAACCAATAATTTGAGTTACCTGGAGGAAGTTGCCACTGATTTTCTTGTCCTCTGCCACGACCTATCCTGATGGTCAGAAGGGGAGAGAAGTATTCCAACCACTAGATTCCAGCAGAAAATCTTCATAATAAAAGATTATGAAGCTTCCTACTGTCTTCAATGCACCTGACTTATCTGCAGTGCCGGACAAGAAAAGTACTCTGCCCTCTTCACCCGTGGGCGTGAGTCCCATCGGTATGGCTCTATTGGACATGAAATACCCATGATGTCCCCTTCCCAGCCTGATGTTCTCTTCCAGATGCTAGAGTTCCCACTTCCCAGAGGACACGTGGCAGGAGAGAGGGGGCTGTTGTTCAGCATATCTGGAGGGAGGCCCAGGGGCTGGGGAAGGGCAGACTGGAACTTGAGTGTCTCCTTTTGGTAGAACATCTCCATGATCCTTGTGCCACAGAATTGCAGATTTGCCTGCTCTCCTCAGGCAGAACAACGTCCTGCTGCTTGTGGGGACAGTGCCCCCCTCTCCCTCTGACCTTTGGCCAATCCATTTGCAGAAGAGGAAAAGGGAGAGGCTCAGTTGGAAGGGCAGCTGCCAGTGGGATCTCTGTGCAGCTGGGCTCTCTCCAGCTCACTGAAAACCCATTTGAGTCTCCACCAAAATTCCTGCTGAGCACCCTTGCTTGCCAGGAGGAGAGGAGAGGAGAGGAGAGGAGAGGAGGCACATACTGGTCATGCGAGCTATTCTCAGGCTTCTCCCCACAAGCAGGAGTGAACCACTAGAGAAACTGCGAATAAGTCAGATTTATTGAAGTGAGTAAGAATCAAAGATTTCCAGCAACTGGTGTGAATCAAGAACAAGCCCTTATCTCTGCACATAGTGTTCAATCCCTCTTGCATTTTGTCTTCCACCCTTCTTAATAAACTATTTGGCCCCCCCCTTTTGACCAGTGGCTTGTCTCCACCTGTTTGGTAATCATCTGTGCTGTTTTTCATGACTCTGTGAGAACTCACAGCCACAGGCTTGTGTGGCCACTTCCCTGGCGTACTTCCCGTATCCTCTGCCCAGTGGGAAACAGGCTTAGAGAGCCCCATGTTGTAGCTGCCGTCCTGAGACAAGCTGGTCCTGGATGTCCACCTGCGAAGACCAGCAACAGTCTTGGAGCAGCTGCTGTCAGGCCATGTCCCACTGGAAGGGCCAGTGGCAGTCTCCCATTTCCTGCTGGTATCTCTCATTGAAGAGAGTGCTCTGTTTGGGGGAGAAGTGGTTCCTCCAGTCACCAACAGTACCTAGAAGGGCAGAAGGAAAACCTTGCTGAATCTGCTCATTCACAGTGCATGGTGTTTTTAGCCTTCAGCGGCAGAGGCAGCGGTCATCTAGCGAGGAAAGCTAGTGGGCCCTGGAGGATGAGATGAACCTGGGAACCAGCTCTCCCCAGCCCATGCGTCCCTGTTGCATTCACTGACCTTTCCTCATGAACTGGCTTTTCTGAAAATCCATAATCCCAGGAGGAACAAGGCTGCCATTCACCATGACGTTCTCTTTCATGACAGCAAAGCTGCAGTGTTCCTGTATGCAGTCAATCTGATCTGGGTGAACCGGGTGGTCCAGGAAGGCACTCAGCTGCTCCACACAGCATTTCAGATCCTAGGGTCAGAGGAGGAAGAGGAAGAAGAGGGAGGAGGAGGAGGAGGAGGAGGAGGAGGAGGAGGAGGAGTGAAACAAAGCAGGCTGTGTGTCCCCCACCAGAGGAGCAGGAAAGACCAGAACTTATATTTTATCTGTGCTAAAAACTGCAGCCATCAGCCCAGCCAAAAGCAAGATTGCCTTTAAAGGCTGGGGCTGTGTGCAGTAAGCAGTGAGATCTTATGGGGAGGGAAGGGTGGCTTCTAAATAACTTTGCAAGGCTCCAAGCATTGTTGAGCGGCTGCCTGGATGTTGGTCTCCTTCTGGTCTGTGAGCCAAAGACAAACACCTCCTGCTTGCACCTTCCTCTCCTGACCTGAACAGAGAGGCAGTTATTCCTAGGCTCAAGAGGAACGTAAACGTGGGGTGGAGAAAGGAGGGGAACAGGCCAAGATGAGCAAGACATGGGAGCTGATTGAGACGAGGAGCTGTGGGACCCAATCGGAATGGGGCACATCCTCTGAGTCTTGCTTTAACTCCAAGAAGGAGGTGCCGCCTGTCTGCACCGGTTGAACGGCAGACGCTTAGCTTCCCCCAGTAAATCATATATCTGAACTTAGAGCCATTTGCAAGGCTGAACCCCATCGTACGAGAGAATGCGCTACTTGCTCATTTGCTCACATCCCAATTGCCCTGCCCTCTCTCAGGCACCGTCCCCAGGCCTGAAGCATGCGTTTGTCTCTCTGGCCCGGAGGGAAGAGAAAGCCGGGAGCCTCCTCCCTTCAGCGCCTGTCTCTCAACCGCCATGAGCCACCCTGGATGAGCAATCAGGCTCTCTACATCTTTTCCTGTCCGCACCAGCCTCTTCCTTTCAACAAGGCCTACATTTGAAACCACAGTCTTGTTTTGAAGCAAGATTGTGGTGTCCTGCTTGCTTGCGATCTCCTCCACTGCCATAGCGTGTGCTTGTCTGCGGGCAAACTCACTTGATGCAGCTCCTCATAGGTGATGCAAAAAATGCCCAACTCTTCTCGGCAGCTGAGCCAGCCTTTGACATGCTCAAACCAGGAACCATAGTGCACTGTTTCAAAGCAGGGAGAAGACCAGGTTCAGACAGGGAAAGGAGCCGCCGTGCCTCCCACATCACCATCATGGCAGCTCACCAGGAGCCGCATCCTTTGCTGGCATCTCAGCCTCTTGGCTGCCCCTCGAATTATGCTTGTGATTCATCTGAGCAAAGTCAAGCCACAAAATATTCCAAAACAGCCTCTGCTTTGACTCCTGGCCCGGTGCTGAAGGCAGGCAGGACTCGACAGAGCGGGTGGGTGGGGGAAGAACTGTCAGCAGAGTCCCGGCGCACGCAGTGGCCCTCTTTACCCAAAAGACACCCCTGGGAGGCAGGAAGTTCTTAGACGGAGGAATCGCCCCTTCTGTCCCCGAGAATTTGCCCCCTCCGCAACCACTGTATCTGCTTGAAGGAAGAGCTCGTCATCCGCCGCCCGGCTCAAGCCCGCAGAGGTTCACTTCTCAGCAGGATCAGCAGCTATGAGAAAGAGAGCTGCCCCCGGCCTTGGCAAGCTGTGCTAAACTGTGCTGGAATTAAAGCTGAGAACGATGAGACCGAGCGTCCCTGCAGCGATTTCTAGGGTGGTCTCTCCTCCACCAATCCCAAGGATGGAATCCCTCAAAACGAACGTCTTTGGGTTCCCAAAAAGCACTGGCACGCATTCAAGAGCAGAAACGTTTTTAATTAAGCTCCACATGTGCGTGACAAAGGTTATTTTTTAAAAGTGCTTAAAAATAGAAAAGGGACCGTCCCAAACCTTTTTTTCAAGAAAATCCAACCCGTTAAGGATGAAATCCAATATGTCAGTACATCATGATACAACAGCATCAGCAACACTTTCACCATCTCCAGCACCAACTGAAAAAGCCATCGCCCACCTGGTGCCCTCCAGATGGGTTGAACTACAGCTCCCAGAACTCCCGGTCAGCACGAGCTAAGCTATTCTCTACCACGTCTGGAGGCCACCGGAGCGCGGGAGGCTCCTAGCAGCCTGCCGGAGCCGTCTGTCTGCAATTACAGCACCACTGCTTCTGGGAGCTAATTGGAAACGGTCATGACCGAGGCAGTCACAGTGCTTTAAGCTAAAACACTGTGCTAAAATAAATGCGCAGCCCTGACAGCCCCCAAATTTGCAGTTACAATGCAAACTGTGAGATGAAGGCAAACGGTGAGAAATATCAAGAGAGTCAAATGCCCACGATGGAGCCTGCAGTGAAACTGGAGACAGTGATTTAAACAGCCCTCCAGTTCCACCACCACCCCCCTGTTTGAATTTTGCAACTGCTTTTTAAGCATAATGACATCAGCCACCCCGTGTTGGCAAGCAGAGATACAGATTTACTCAATAAATATAAGTAACGATGACACTGATCTGAATGTCTGCACTCTGATGGGCATCTTGGGGTAAAGCAAACCACCAGATCCTTCAGAGCCCTCTTACGTACCCGTGCCAGCCAGGAACTCACAAATGAAGTCCTCAAAGGAGTTCGGGTCAGGGAAGAAGTTGGCCATTCTCTGGAAATGGTAGTAGGACACAGCAACATCCTTTGGGTTCCTGATCACATAGATCACCTGCAGCAGCCGAGAACAGACAAGTGGACCCCCGTAAGACTTCCTGTTTTCACCCCCTGCTCCTCGCATCCCAACTTTGGGTCTCCCTTGCTGCAGTTCCCTTGGATAGCTTCATGTAACCCGTCATGGCTGGGCTCACGTCATGCTAAGCGGAAGCCAAATATGCCACATTATGTTTATGTACCCCTGAAACACCCTTTGGGACTAGGAGGGCCCAAGACAGCCCCATCTGAAGGTTTTGCCTCAGCTCTTGTGAATTCTGACCCTGAAAGAAATCCACGGCTGTCTCCACAAGACGCACCTTGGGCTTAGCTTTCTTCAGAGCAGTTGCCAGCACTGGCTGGGGCAGGTGGGTGGTGAGGAGGCGAGGACTTCCGATGTACTGAAGTCGCTCTTGGAAAAAGATGTGCTCCAACCAGGGAGCCCGAGCCCAATTGGGAACAGTCTTTACGGGTTTGAGGTTGCCATTGCTGTAGATCAAGGTCAAGATTTCTTGCATCCATGTGGTGCCTAAAGGGCAAGATAGGAAGATCAGTGTGGGTCATGACAACCTGTGGAACTACAGGCTTCTTGACTGCAAGAACTACAGAGGTTTTTGTTGGGAAAAAGGTCATTTGCTCACAAAAGAAGGTAATGGATTCACCTGGATTCACTCATTCAGAAGACTGTATTCAGGGAACAGAAGCAGAAATTAGCCCTTGGTTGCAGACACATAGATCCTACAATCTCCACACAGAGCCATAAACTGTACCATTACTGTCTTTTGGCCAAAACCTAGAATTATATGACAGCACGACTTCCCCGGGGGCCCTCTTACAACAGATGTGTGCTTCCAATTCCAAACACCTCAAGTCAATATTCCCAGATTTTGATCAAGCGCCAGGTTTTCACAGCCCTGAGGAGAGTTGTGGAGAACCTGCTCTGCATTTCAAGGCTCTCAGGCCCAGTAGGAAACCCCCTCACCCTCAGGGCTAAACTCCAGCAAAACCCAGCAGTCTTTGCCCCATAGAAGTCAGAGGGGCAGAGTTTCGGTCACCCTGTTCCACAACTCCTATCTCATGTTTGCCTTTCCATGAAAGTCTGTTGGCTGCTCTTGAGCCGCTGGCAGGGAAAGGTTTTACATCCCCCAGCCCGAACATTGCACAGGCCTCCTCACTGCTAACACCGGTCTCACCAAAGGTGCACGGAGGGACCCTGCAGTGTGATGGCTATTCACCTGGAACTAAGCTGGTGTGTCTTCCTGTTGGTGTTGAACTATGAGAGTTGGCACAGGCCAACTTTATATTCCTTTAGAAGAGTGATATTAAACACGGCTCCTTTGGTCCTCATTGTCACCCCAGAAGATATGCTGGCAGGCTGGACATCTTTCTGTAAGCATGCATGGGCTGATTCTGACCCACCATTTCCCACTGCAGACCTGACTATGATGTAGGACAAAACAAGAAACAACATCCTGCACTCAAATTGCAGTCCTGGGTCTGCAAAGTCTTTCTGGAACTTCTGCAGAACCATTCCCAAGGAGTCATCTGCATGTTCTGTTAACCCCGGTATGCTGACTCCCCACTACCCCTTTTTTAGAGAGCTATCCTCGTGTCTCAGTCATTGTCTCATTCCAGTGCACCACAAAGGCAGCCTACATTTATCCTTAGCTACTCCAGTTCTAAAATGATGTTTCTCAACTGAAATCTTGGCACATGAATGACCTATGATATCTCATTCACAGTCCTGATGACATGTTTAAGGACTGGTTTGTGTTGAGCTCCTATGGGCTGGCTGAGGCTGTTGCAGGCACGCACACACCCTCCCCCCCCCCACACATATTCAGTTACTGGGCATTGCCCTCCGTGCCCATCTTAGAGCCTGGTTCTATAGAGCATCTGGCTGTGCAATGTCCTACCTGCTCTTTGCAAAGCGATGCTCAGGCATTACAAGGGCTCCTTATACACACAACTATCTCAGTCTCTTGGAAGACTACTATACCTATATTAAACCCATGTTCAGTGGTCTTTCAAAAGCCCCAAAGATAGCTGCTGGTTGATTTAAAGTAGCAAAGAGATGCTTTGCTCCCTCTGTTCCAAATGGCTGCACTGAAGATTTTCTGCTGCTTCTGCCAACAAGAGTTTATGTATGGCCATGCTTTCTAGCGTTTTATTGCTTTGGGAGGGAGGCAGTGCAATTTTTGCCTACCTTAACAGCATTTTGTATGTTCCACTGTTATTTCCAGCTCCTTCTGATTGACTGCCCTTGAGTTGCAATCCTTCTTGATCTGCGATATTGGGGAGCTGGGGTGAAATTGAGGTGAATCTGCCCATTTCCCTTTTCAGTCCAAGTGACAGGAAGAACAGTCAAGAACAGTCAAGCTGTCCACCAGGATTCTGTAAGGCTGGTAAACCTCTGCCAGAAAATAGCCCAGCTGACCTTCAGAACAGAACTTTACCAGTCTTTCAGAAGACCAGCAGGCAGTTTGGCCATACTTCCGATCATCTGGTCTTCCAGAAGACCAATACATTTGTATTCAGAATGACAGCCCAAGTGGCAGGTGATTGAGCATCTCTGCACTAGGGACCTGCCACTTGGGCAACTTGAAAGGCGACTAGAGCTAAGGCACACCCTCAACATTTCCCCAAGCCCACTCTGCCTTACTTTAAGGAAAGCAATTGGGGGTGCTTTTCCCCTGGCAGCTGACACTGCGTGGGAGAGAAAACAAAGCCAGAGAAATCTAACAGCCAGTGCCTTTCAACTACCTGCAGTAAAGCTCTCAACTAATTGACTGATTTATTGATAGTCCATTAAACATAGACCACTGTTCCAAATGCATGCCTCCCCAGTAAAAAAGATTAGAGCTCAGCCCTTGGGCACAACCAGTTATGCCAGCATATTTGTCTGCTGATTCAAGGACTGGAAGAATGCACATTCATGCAACCGTGAGAAAGAGGCCCACGTGAAAACAAACGTTCTACTCTTCCCCAGAATTACTGATAAAATAGACCAGTCCTCTGAAGGGCAGGGAAATGTCTCTCAAGTCCTCAAGAGTGCTTTGTGGAAGAGGGAATGAGAGTGGCTCCATCTTCTCTTCGTCCACCTCCTCTTTCTTCAAAATGCTTCAGAGCAGCTCGTTGCCCAGAGGGCCTTCCCAGCCAGAGATCCAGCCGATGTTCAACAAGGGGCTGGCTGGGATTCAGGAGTTAGATGGTAAAAACTACCTGAAAGGACAGACAGGACCTCCCATGGATTCTCTGGATTTGGGGTGGGGGTGGGGGGCAAAGATCTGGTTGATGAATCAGGATCCTGCACAGCTTTTTGGGAAGGGTTTTGCTGAGAGGAGAAGACTCAGACTGGGCAGTAGTTCAGGGGCTAGTCAATGATTCACTCACTCGCTGCCCCTGAATATTCCAAGAGACTGCCAGAATAAACTCCCATGTGTGCCAAGACAGAACATTGATTGTTTCACAGCCAGACAAGGTAGTCCTACCAGTGCCTGAGAACTATCACCTGACTTATTGTCCCCACTACAAAGAGCAGCCCACCACCAGTTTATGGGTTCCCACTATCAAACCGCTCAGGCAGTCACAAAGTCCTTCTTAAGGGTTATTTGAAATGCCACGTTGCAGGACTATTATATGCGCACAGATGGAAAGACTCTGAAATACCCACAACAGAGGAATTGTTGGCAAAGATGACGGAACTAGCAGTGATGGCAAAATTAACTTGTTTGCTTAGAGGATTATCAACAACTACATTTATCAGTGACTGGAAACCCCTTATGGACTTTTTGCCAAAAAAAGAGAAAAATGAACTTATGATTGATGGGTTTGGAGATTCGAAAGGGTAGCTTATGGAAAGAAGGAAGGAAATTATATAATGTAACTTGAGAGAGGGCAAAGTATAAGTATATTTATAGTCACTGCCAAGAAGATCAGAAGTCACTTTTTTCTAATCTTTCTTTCTTTTTTCTAT